AAGCGATACCAAAATTATAGACTCTGGAGTGATACATTTAGGACTGAGTGATCACAGTTTAGTGTACATTTGCCGCAAAGTAGGAATACCTAGGGCTGAACCAAAAATTGTAGAAACAAGGCAGTTTAAATACTTTAATTCATCTGCATTTCAATACGACTTAAAAATGGCATTTCAAAGACACAACAACCTCTATAATTATGCCGACCCAAATCATGCGTGGGAGGTATGGAAAACTATTTTTCTTGATATTGCAAATATGCATGCTCCACTTCGGATTCGGAAAGTCAAAAGTGAGCACTGTCCTTGGATGACAAACGAAATAAAAAACCTTGCGCATCATAAATTCTACTTGAAACAAAAAGCGGTCAAATTTAACTCTTCTAACTACCACGAAGCTTATAAACGTTGTAGAAATGAACTTAACAAAAGAATCAAAGCAACTAAGGTTCATTTTTACAACACTGAACTACAAAACAGTAAAAATAGTAAAGAAGGTTGGAATACATTAAATAATCTGCTTAATAGGAAATCCAAAACCACAATTGTTAATGAACTTAGCGTAGACCATGGAAAAAATGTAACACAAGATAAAGCCATAGTCGACGAGTTTAATAAATTCTTCACTTCTATAGGTCCCAAATTAGCAAATAACATTGCTGACAATGGCTGTAGTCCTGATCCTTTGTCATATATAGACCAAGTCACAAATGTATTTCACTTTCATAGCATATCAAGCTATGAGCTGAAAAGAGAAATACAAAATATGCAAATGGCAAAATCTACAGGTCTAGATAAGATCTCAACTAAGCTAATAAAACAGGCAGGCGATACAATAACTGAATCACTTCTAGAAGTGTTTAACCTATCTCTTAGGACAGGAATATTTCCAGATGATTGGAAATTTGCCAAAGTGACTCCAATATATAAGTCAGAAAACAAAACCTTATGTGAAAACTATAGACCGATATCAGTCATTTCGAATATCGCCAAAATATTTGAGAAATTAGTCTGTAGACAACTAAATACCTTCCTGGATAACAACAACATAATTGTAAAAAATCAATCAGGTTTCCGTCGCAATCACTCAACCGAAACCTCGTTACTACAATCCACTGAAATGTGGTTGAAATCAATGGACCAGGGTCAAATAAATGGGGTTATTTTCTTAGACCTGAAAAAAGCATTTGATACGATTGATCACCAGATTCTATTGTCAAAACTACAAGCTTATGGGATACGCGACCACACGCTCAAATGGTTCCAATCGTATTTAGATCAAAGAAAGCAAATTTGCATGCTAAATAACTGTAAATCTGATATTGAAACAATTCGTTGTGGAGTACCTCAGGGTTCAAATCTTGGACCTCTATTATTTCTCATTTACATAAACGACCTCCCAAACTGCCTAGAAACAACACATTCTAATTTATTTGCTGATGACACAATTTTATCATGTCAAGGGCATTTATCCATAGATATTGAATACAAACTTAACAAAGACCTAGTAAATGCTCAAAAATGGTTATCAGCGAATAAACTAACATTAAACAACGAAAAAACAAATATATGATTATTGGATCTCGGCAACGATTGAAAAACTTAGATCACGTGCCAAAAATCAGTATAAACGGACATCAAATTGAACGAGTTTATAAAAAGGAAGCTTTGGGTATAGTTATAGACGATAGACTTAGCTGGAATAGGCAAAATGAAGAACAATGCAACAAGATATCAAAAAATATTAATCTTTTAAGAAAAGCCAAAGATTTTGTTGGCCTAGATACGCTCAAAATTATGTATAACGCATTAGTCGCGCCTCATTTTAACTACTGTTCAACTGTTTGGCAAAATAACAACCAAACACACTTAGACAAATTATATAAGCTTCAGAAACGAGCAGCAAGAATAATAACAAATTCGGACTATACTATAAGATCTTCGGACATTTTTCAAAAACTTAGCTGGAAACCTCTTGACTTAGTTTTGAAAAAGCGAGATCTCCTTATGACATTTAAAGCGATTAATGGCATGCTTCCAGAATACGTAACACAACTATTTCACACTTGCGAAAACAATGGTTACGTACTGCGCAGTAGTAATTTAAAGCTGTCTCAACCTAAACCAAAAACGAATTTCTTGAAAAATAGCTTTTCGTACAGAGGAGCAGCGTATTGGAACAACATCCCAGTAAACTTGTTGAAAACCCTAAGAGAGTCAACAAGTTTAAAATCTGTCCATCATCTATTAAATAATTACATCTTGTAAATAAGTAAATAAGTAAATAAGTAAATAAGTATATTTTGTAAATAAGTATAATTTAGTTTATTAGTTCCTTCTTTTATAATGCATTTATTTTCCGCACGGCCCTTTGAAAATCACCTATGTGAAAGGTTACCGTGTTTAAAGATCAATAATAATAATAATAATAATAACAAGAATCACGTATAATAAATACATCACTGTTGCACTTTTATTGTGTATATATTGAGTGAAATATTCGACATGAGCGCAGATCGCGCAGACTTCATATCCCCTATACTGCTGAGGCAAAACACCTTTTGAAACAATTTTCATTAAGTCATGCAAGGCTGCATGTGTCCAAAACATGAGCGCAGATCGCGCAGGCTTCATATCAGATCGTATTGCATTTCGGAATTTTAACAACAACATCTAACAGGAATTTTTTCTGGGTTGGTGAATTGTACTCAGGTAAGTATGATGCTTGCGATGTTACTCTGAGTCTAAATCCACACCGGACAAGCTTGAAAAATTTGCCTTGTCACGGTGGGAATCAAACCTACAAACCCGGTTGTAGGTTCGATTCCCACCGTGGCCAGACATATTTTTCAAGCTTACCCGCTGTGGATTTACACTCAGGGTAACATCACAAGCAACGACATCTAACATCTTGGAGAGTTACGTCATATAAACAATAAAAATCGACACTCAACGAAAGACTGCGGTGAGCCAAACCATATTAATACGCTGTGTATTTATGTATACTTAACATAATTGTTTCATATTAGAAACTAAGCAGGAGTGAGAAATCGGCGCTGTATGCATGATACAAACTAATTAGAACTATACTAAATTTAGTGCAAAATATAATCCCTGCGGGCCTAATATTCGACAGATCATTAAAAAGCATCGATCCATCAACGAAAATGATGAACAGGCGACGGAAATTTTACCCACTAAATTTATTAGGGTATCGTATAAACGTAATTTGAACGCGCTATTGGCTCCATCGAACGCATATAAGGAAAGAGTTGTTAATGAAAGTATAGGTTGTTTCAAATGTTCAGCCAAGCGGTGTGATTGGTGCCGGAAATTCTTGGTGGTTGGTGCTTCATTTCGCTCAATTAAGACCAAAAAGAATTATAAGATCAGTAAATCGCTTTCATGTACTTCGGCCAATCTAGTATACTTGGCTATTTGTGTTCCGTATAGGAATCATCCTATACGCAAAATTCTTCGCAACAGCAAGAAATAGTGAATGGTTTTTATAGTTTTTGTGGTATATGTAACACTTAAGTAATTCTGAAAAAGAAAATTTCTAATACAGGGGGGGGGGGGATTTTACGACTAAAAACGCATTTTAACTTCACAGCGTGCTAAATTGGAAGGTTTTTGATGAGCATACATGCAAGATTTCAAAAAAATTGGTATTTGTTTATTTAACTACGCACTCTTTAAAATTTGAACATTTATCGCATTTGCTTCTTGCAGCATTAAATTTTATGCATGCATGAATGATTTCATGCTTGATTAAGAACTTGAATAAATTAAGTTAAGAAATTCATAAACAACACAACATTTAAAGTTTGTTTGTTCACGTCAACCAGGTATATGCTAGTGAATTAACATGAACAACACAACATGTTTTTAATTTTCTTGTCTTAATGCCTTAAACTTCAACATGTCCTGCATGTCTTTTGAAACAAATTTCAGCTTTCTTAATCATAGCAAAAACGGCACGACGAACCATTTCTCTGTTTTGCTTCATAATATCCATTTCATCGCAAATTCTCGTTTCGAGGTTGTCCAGGTTAGCAGGTGGTCTTACATAAACCTTTGACTCACTTTAGGTATCCCCACAGGAAAAAGTCCAGTGGTGTTAATATATATATATATATATATATATATATATATATATATATATATATATATATATATATATATATATATATATATATATATATATATATATATATATATATATAGAAAAGGTTTCAATGTCTATACTCTTCGTCATCTAAAAGTAAGCGAACACTTAAATATGTGTAACAACGGAATTTTCAAAATAATGCCTATATATCAATGCATTAACACGGACAGACTTTTTAGGGAGATGAAAGAGAAAGAACTTATCAATATACTGAATCCGGATCTGAACGCTAATTAAAAAACCATAAAGTTTATGCTTACATTTAGATCAATAGAATGTTTTTAACGGGTGACTTCACACCATGTAAATATATGCATTCCTAACATAGTTATTATAATATGATATCATAGAGCGTAGATAATAGATAAACTAAATTCCACTCATTGTAAATATGCACCTGAGGAGCTAACATTAAAGCGAAAACGTTTGTGCAAAATTTGAGTGGCTTTTATTTTATTTTACGTTATAAATGTCTCTTTTGGTTGCACATTGAAACCTTTTCTATATACAACACTTGTATCTTGTTATCTGCAACATTTCACTATATATATATATATATATATATATATATATATATATATATATATATATATATATATATATATATATATATATATATATATATATATATATATATATATATATATATATATATATATATATAAACAACTCAAAAACCGCTACATAACGTTACACGAGTGGAATCGTAAACGTGGGAAACCACAACATTCACATACAACATTGCCATACTAATAGCTGGCTATACGCATTGAAGGACTAACCTCCGACATGCAACTAAGATCATAACTTAACAAGTCGTTCTCAGCTTGACCATGTAGCTCAGAAGGTAGAGCATCGTTCTAGAAATGCGAAGGTTGCGGGTTCGAATCCCAGCCGCGGTCAAGTAGAATTTTCTGCTTGCCCGGTTTGGTATACACTCGTCTGAAAACAACTCAAAAACCGCTACATAACGTTACACGAGTGGAATCATCAACGTGGGAAACCACAACATTCATATATATATATATATATATATATATATATATATATATATATTATATATATATATATATATATATATATATATATATATATATATATATATATATATATATATATATATATATATATATATATGTATATGTGTGTATATATTTTTTTCTTGTTTTGGTGTACTCAGATCAATGTAATGAATTTTACTGTATATCAGTCGGAACTTACCTGACTTCACACAAATAGCACGACTCTTCGCATAACAATCTTGCTCATCAAATGTGTCGTTTACAACATAAGGGCATTTATTCAGTTTTAACTCCATTATATTTGTCAGGTTACCAACCATATGTGTTTCGCACGACTCTTTTTTATAAATGCCCAACCAGTACGACTTATTTCCTGTGTTCATCAAGGATTTATTGTTTGTAGTAGGAAATTCTAGTCGATTGCCGCAGTTTGAATTCGCGTCGTTCCAAGACATTTGGTTTCCATCTGAAAAATTATAATAAAATAACATTAATATACATATCATATTCATGAATCTTCTGATTAATTATTTTGGGCTGAT